GAGCCACAGCGCCACTTCCGGCTTTTTTCTTTCTGCTTATGTGGTGCTGAGGAATCGAACCCAGGGCCTCATGCATGCAAGGCAAGCGCTCTACCGCTGAGCCACCTTCCCAGCCCCAACACTTCTTTTTTTTATGGGTCGTGGGGATTGAAATCTGGGCCTGGGTGCTGTCTCTTGTTAGGTATTTAAAGAGGCTGCCAAGTAAGATCAACACCAGACACGTGGTAAGAGAGGTTTATTCAGCAGACTGGCTGGCACCAGGCCAGGTTGGCACTCCATAGAGGGAGGCTGGCCCCGGGCCATGCCTAATCTAGGATAGGGGCAGGAGAAGGTGTGGCCAGGTAAAGCGAAGTGGGAACAGATAAGAAGAATTGGGACCAGGTGGCAGAAAGGTGTGGCCACATTGGATCCATTTGGTGTGCCAGTTGCCTAGGTGATTCTGGTACTGGGCGGATACTTGGCCGCGAGGACTTACCTCTCTCAACTCTTCAGCTCCAGGAGCTCTCTACCACTTGAGCCACAGCGCCACTTCCAGTTTTCTGAGTGGTTTTTTGGAGATAAGAGTGTCAAGGACTTTCCTGCCCAGACTGGCTTTGAACCTTGATCCTTAGCTCTCAGCCTCCTTAGTACCTAGGATTACAGCCACGAGCCACTGGCGCTCGGCTTTACAGGACTTTAAAACAGAATACATGGCATGCAACAGGTGATGTTCCTTTATGAGACACAAGTTCAAAATTATTTGAGCACTTTCCCCCTAGTAGTGCTAAGATGCCCCTGTGACTAAAAAATAGCAATAAATGTTAGATTTTGATGCCTTTACTAAATGGCTCTCATCTTTGATAAACCTTAACTGGGCCCTTCAAATAAATGCCCCCAGTTGAAAGGAGACAGGATATAAAGCAAGGTCCTTAAATCAGAGAAAGAGAGGTATCTCTGATTTCTAGAATACAGAACTGTGAGTGAGCATACAGTAGGTTTATGAATATCCTTACATGCCAGAGAAGAAATTATTGCGACTTCAAAATTAGTCTGTTTTCTCCTGCTCCATCTTAAAACAAATTTCAATCAATGGCAACTGCTAAAATTGGATCGATTATTCCCATACACCACACTCCCTTTGGACAAAAGTCCAAGCCACAACCAAGAAATAAATCCATGGTCTACTCCATCCTGAAAATGTAAATGCTGGCAGTCAGTGGATGGGGTTAAGTTTGATTGGAGCTTCCCCATTTCAGAATCAACATCAGTGGCAGTGGGCGTTCTGGTTTCTACTTCTTCATCCTCGTCACGTGCCAATTCTAAAATCAGAGAAGGGTAGTGTAGTCATTTCCTGTCCTAAAACACCCCGAGGCTGCCGCTTCTACCTTCCTTCTGTCATAGCTGTCAGGTTCCTCGGTTACACCGTGCAGTGGGTTATGTGGGCAGTATCTTCAATCTCTGGGCTGTATAGCACTTTGCTAGGCAGCAGATGGCGCCAACTGCACTAGGACCCGGTCCCAATGTGCCTCCCGAGCGCGCGCCACCGCGCGCTTCTCGGTCTCGCCCCCTCTTAGCACCCCTGAGCAGTCCCTGTCGCCGCTTTCCTTGGCCGGGCTCCCGGCCTCATCTCGTTAGCCCTGGGCTCATGCTTTTTCCTCCAATCATGACCACAGATCCGAAACGAGGGCCATCCCTGTGACGCTGCCACGCGGGATTGGGGTGGGTGCCCCACAGAAAGGGCACGAGACGATACGACGCGGGCGCATAGGTGCGTAGCTGCCCCGCTGCCATCGCGGCGCACCGCCAGCCCGCGCAGGCAGGCGGTTCAGAGCGTGTAGCTGGAGGCAGACACGTGCAGTACCTGGCAGGCGACATGGCGCATGGCTTCCGAGGTTGAAGGGCCAGTAGCAAACGTTAGTCCAACTGGTTCTGATCTGGAAGAGAGGGCGCTGGCCCTTATCAGGAGCTGCATCGTGCCCGATTTGGACACGAGGGCATTGCATTGCACATACCGCTGGCTCTGTGCTGAGGGCAACCAACATTCTTTTTTTTTTTTTTTGGGTCCGGTCGTGGGGCCTGAACTCTGAGCCTGGGCCCTGTCCCTCAGCTCTTCAGCTCAAGGCTAG